GAAATAGGAAACCTAGAAATATAGTAAAAACGCTGAATAGTACTCCAGCGTCGCGACATGCCGACGTTGGTACGAGTAGGTTAGTCTACAAACGTCGCCTAAAGTAATTGATTTTACCAGGCAGAACGTAAGAAGGAACTCCGCTTTTCAGTTGTCTCAGGCGATTGATTTTTGACAAACAATGACCTTTCAGAGGTCAAATTGCTGTCAAGAATATGAATTGGCTGCTTCGCAGCAATAAACACGTCCAGGTTTGAAGGTTTGATTTTCGTGCACTGTGGATTCATGGTACAGTACAGTACATTCATAAATTTAACTTGCCAAAAAGTTGCCATCAGCAAAAGGCTGATGCTAATTTGGAGTCTAAAAGTTGAACTCCGCGTTAATGTACATTTAACAAGAATCGATAAATTTATGTGACTGATAATGCAAGTTTATTAAAGTATGAATGTGCATGCATTGTTTCATTTACGTAAATACAGTCGAGTTCGCCTAAGTCGAATCTAATGGGACTGGCATAAAAAGTTGGAGTTATACAGATTTCGACATGCACATTTTCGAAAAAAAAAAATTAACATAGAACAATACTATGTGTACTCAATGCCCACAAAATCAAATCTCACGCAAAACCGAACATTTTCTTAAGTCCCAAACTCATTCCTATTCTCCTTTTAATAAAATACTTTTCGAAAACATGAACTCCCTATTCCAAATCTCGGACGATTTGTCCAATTCAGGACGGTAGCACTCCTCGAAAAACCAGACGATAGTTTAATCGTGGAGGAAATTTCCCCCATGGTTTAATAGACATCGTTTAACGACAAGCATACCAGACGCTGTGAAAACGAGACGCTTAGTTATACTTGCATTGCCATGGAGATTATCTGTTGATTAACACGACACACCAGTGAAATTTACGCATTCCAATGTTTTAATAAGTGTATATTCTTGCTTTTAATCCTTAAAAACCATTTGGAATCAACCTGCAATAAAGACGGAACTCAACAAAGCAAGTTTCTACTGGTTACTCTTTCAGTAGACGTCTAATTCAAATTCGTTAGATTCGTCGGGGTAAATTTCAAATGCACCTCATTCATTCTTTAAACTCAAGACGCTTTTCAAAACATGTTGCTAATTTAATTACAGAGGAAATTTGTAGAGAATAAAATATAATTTGTTAGGTTTATTTAGATTTGACTCTAAAATATACCATGAGGGTTTCTTATTTGTTTTTTGTTTTGTTTTATAAATTTGTTTAATTAAAACATTCTTGATTACACTGAGCTTGTTACTGTCACGCGATCTGACGTCATCACAGCCGAAGCACATGTCTAGTCTGCAAAACACCCCACGAAAATGGACCAATTGGCGGGAAGGAAGAGTTTTTGGGGGCACGACCTGTTCTGTTTACAACTAGACTGCCGACCAGCAAGTGCCATTGCCCAACGAAGAATGTGTGCTTGGAAAAACATAATCAGACCTAAAGAAATGCACGCAAAAACAATATAAAAGTCGCATCAGTTTTATTGGTAATAATTAAATTTGCTGAGCAGTACAGCAAAACAACAGGTACTGTACGTATTACTGTATTAAATAATGTGTTGAATTTTCGTAGGCTAGGCAGTCAAAAGAATCCAGTGCTTTGATAAATTAATTAAATAGCTAGGCCCTGACTACAACAATCTTGTTCGAAATGGGTTCAGTACAAGTTTTACAAGCTAAACTGGACGAAAAACTGAACATTGGAGCCGGTCCGGAGAGGTGTCTGTATTGTGAGAGTAGACTGCAACTTACGACATACAATCATGTGAGCCAAGTTCCACAGCACGCTGTCTGAGATGTTAGTTTGACACGGCTAACTTGTTGCCGTACAACAAGGATTGAACTTCGTATTTTCCGACGGCTGTGTATTTTTCCCACGTGCGCTACTAAATTTGGAACTTCGACTTCTGTGGTTGAAATTACTTTAAAATCGGCCTATCCGGACAGGAAAATTCCGTCGATATAGCCGAAATTCAACTTATAAAAATTCGAATTAAACAAACAATTTACACAGTAATACATAGGAAAGAATTGGGACTTTTTTAAAAATTCGACTGACGCGAATTTTCGACTTAAACAGAGTCAACTTTGGCGGACTCGACTGTATATCATTTGCTGATTTGTTAACGGCGACGTAAATATATCCACTTCTATTTTAAAAGTTAAAGAAAAGATTTGGTATAAGTATGTCATTACTTAAATTTATGAATCCATCACATATGCTATAATTCGAAATTCGACTTATAAAAATTTGAATTAAACAAACAATTTACACAGTAATACATAGGAAAGAATTGGGACTTTTTCAAAAATTCGACTGACGCGAATTTTCGACTTAAACAGAGTCGACTTTGCCGGACCCGACTGTATATCATTTGCTGATTTGTTAACGGCGACGTAAATATATCCACTTCTATTTTAAAAGTTAAAGAAAAGATTTGGTATAAGTATGTCATTACTTAAATTTATGAATCCATCACATATGCTATAATTAACTTCACATGTTTCCTGTTTGTAAATATTCATTGATTTGGTATAATTATATTTATTTAATAAGTTATTTTATTATTATTATATTATCTAAATGTCAATAGGTTTAAGAAGGAAGTACCATCAACAGATGGCATTGTAGCAACAACAGTATTTCATACTGTTAATGGAGATTGCAACAAATGGAAGGAACAGAAGGATGTGGATGGTATGAATATTACACCTGTCTCTTATACACATCTAGATGTGTATAAGAGACAGGTATTGTTATACGATAGTCAATATTCACAAATTAAATAACATCTTAATGTTTTCATTCAAACACATTTACCCATGTCCTCACTAACAAAAACAACATCGTTATAGTCTTCAGTCGGGTCGAGCATCGAGCACCGATCGATCGCGAAGAACATACAGGAAGTCCACGTTTGGAGAGCACATGATCCACTATACAAAGTTCTGTACGATATGAAGCAAGAAGTAAACAACAAATAATAATATGCATGTATTTTCTGTAAGATATTTAATAATAATTAAAAAAAATAAAAAAAAATAAAAAATAGATAAAATACATCTCCCTGGTAAGACAAAACAAATATTTTTAATGTTTTATTCGAACATAATTTCCCATGTAGTCTGATCACTAACAAAACAACATTGGCATGCTGTGCATGTGTCTACGAAGTATGGATACAGAACTCAACAAATGATTGAGTAAGATGAAAATTT